ACTTTTTCCATGACAGCTAGCGTGGATCCACCTCTTCCCCGTCCACCTCTGGCGACGTCCTCGTACTCCACTCCGGCGACGCGGATCCATCGGGGACACAGGGGATGGTGGCGCGTGGTGGCTTCCCCGTCCTCCCTCAGGTGACGTCCGCGTCCTCCCCTCCGGTGGCATCCCCGTACACCCCTCCGGCGGCGTCTTCCTCCCCTCCTGCGGCCTCCCCTTCTGTCGATCTGGTTGTGATGCCCCTCAACTCCTCAATTGTGCTACTGGTAGTTTTACTTTTGGTAGTATATTGTTTGCATATACTGCTATGATGAGAAAATTTTACTACCTGAATCCCTTTTTTTTGTACTTGTATGGATGCACAACGACAATAGCTCACGGCACAAGATTAGTTAACTAAATTATATCATTATGGAATGGTCTATCAGTTCATTGGGTGTGTGAGTAGGAGATTGAGAACGTACTTCTGCACTCTTGTGCTATGTAGCATACTCTTTGAATATATGATTATATGATTGTTCTTATGGGGTCTTATTTTCTTTTCACTATAATCATTTTACACCACACCTACTTTGCAGCGCACACCACATCTAGTAGTAATATTTATCGATTATAATTTGTCAATAGTAATTTTAAATATTGTGTATTCACATAACTATCTTAAATTCTTAATATTGCAAACCTTTGTATCTGGTGGTACAAGCAAGGTGGCGTGGGAATGTTGTGATTGGATTGATAATTTAAACTAGAGATTTACTACTAGCAGTGTCCCAATTATAAGACAATTACTTGTAGAGAAAGGAGCTCTACAAGAAAATTACTACTATTAGAGAAATGAACTCAATAGAAGTAATTTTCAGAGTGTTTCTCTTTCTTTCATTCATACTACTAATAAGAGAAATGAACGCTATTAGAGAAATGAAATTGCTACTATGGAGTCTGCTATTATGGGTAGATCTATAAAAAAATTACTACTATGGAGTCTGCTGTTATGGGTAGCATCATTTACTTTTCTAGACTGTATTAGTAGTATTTTGTGCTTCGTCTGTCTGTTGGTGCAGCCAGTAGTTCATTTGTTCTGTCAGTATTTGTAGTAGTATGCAACCCAATTAGTACCTTAGCATGCATTTTTAATTCTTGGATAAAGTTAGTAGTACGGGGGAAGTTGTATGGCATGCTGTTAGTTGCAACAGATGCTAATCTTGTATTGCTCAGTAGATGTACTCGTGAGAAACCAATAGTAAAGTGCTGTGCTATGTTTAGTGTTATATTTATCTCAATTCTGATGGCAAGCAGCAGAAGTACTGTTCCTCGTTCTGAGTACATTTCCTTTTGCTTTGCTTCGTTGCATCGTTTTTGTTACTACTAAAATGTTCCAAGTTGAACTAGAGAATCTAGTATATTTACTCAACAAGTTTATTTTTAATCTCAGAATTCTCGTTGTGAACATCAAGGGCACCTGGAACACCATCAAGGAAGAGGACAACAACCAGGCTCCCCTCTCGCAGTGGCATAGGTGTAGATGGCGGTGGTTGTAGTAGGCATGTAGCAGTGACGGCAGGCAGATATGGATGGCTAAATCTATTTATTTTGATGGTTTTTGTATGTACATGACGATTTGTATGTACAACTTGATGGATTTATAATATGGAATGCTGATTTGATCTTGAGATTATGTGGTTTTAATTACCTGTTTAGTAACAGACTGTAATAATATTAGAAATGTTGTTGAATTTGCTCAAAGACAGCTACATGATATGCAAATTTATGATTCTAATTTATACTAGCTTATGTGATGATCTGATTTTAGTTCACCTGTTACGGATTGATGAAACATGCGTGAAGTATTTTACGGTTTCAAAGGTGAGCGGTCAGAAATAAACTTGGGTTGATGTGCGGCTTTTACGGTTACACGGGAGGAATCACTACCAGAAAAGTTACGGTTGATGAGCTGTGGTATTTGAGAGGACAATTACGGTTGCAAGATTTATATATCAGGCGCAAGAGGAAGGAAATTACTACTAGTTCGAATGCATTCATCATTATTAGAAAGAAATAAATCACTAATCAATAATTTCCTTAATTATAGGAATCACAGTTGACACTTTAATTAATGTTAGACACATGCATGTGGTAAATACAATATCACGTGATTATAGGAGAGAACATATGGGATGTGGGACGTGGGACGTGGGACGTGGGATGGGAGATGGGAGAAAAAGAGCTAGATAATGCTAATTAGCGCGGTGGACCACTGTGAGGGTGCCGTGCTAATGCAGGCCATGTGATGTGAGGGAGGGCGCGACAATGCCGCTCCTCCCCTATCCTTTTTCGTGGGCCGGCCTGTTAACTGCCCGGAGCAGCCCACCAAGTGCACAGCGCCAACGCTCCATCCTCATTCAGGTTTAGGGTTTCGGCCGCACCTCTCGTCCCCTCGACCCTTGTAGACGAGTTTAGCTGCGGTCGCGGATCGGTTTGGAGTGGCTGGATTGCAGTGCGGCGATGGAGGCGGGCGGCGGTGCTGGACGGCGTGGTCGCCGTGCAGCTATACTGGAGACGGATGAAGAGGTACGTCGTAATCCTTAGTTTTTTCAAGATCGCAAACTCTAACGCGCCGCGCGCGTCGGCGCCGGCGTCGCCGCCTCTGCGGGTTAGGGTCTGGCCTCGGAGGCGGGCGGGTCGTGCTCTCGCCTGGGAGCGCGACCCATCGCGCAATAACCGTGTCAAGATGTAGAGTGGCGTAGCTCGCAAATCCACACCCCTGGGCGAACAGGCCTATTTGGATGTCGTATTCACCTCAATCCACATGTGGTGTGGATTGAGTTGGAATTTAGTTTAAGTTCCACTTCAATCCACCCCAACACATGTGGATTGAGATGAATACGATAACATCCAAACAAGGCTCAAGGGCACAAAACACTCAGGCCACTTGCTGACTGATAACAATAGTAAATCATAAAATGCATGATTTATAGTATATGAATGGGAACCTTAACCTATACATACTAACTCTTCCAGCTGTACTAGACCAGCCGCTAGCAGCCAGATCTCGTTCAAGGATGCGTCTAGAGTTGGGAATGGGGAGGACGAGCTGCAACTGCAGCCTAGAGTTCGGGAATCAGTCGAGGGATTGGCGAGGTCCCATTGGTCACACTAGCGCCATTGCAGAGGCACTAGGGTTTAGCTTAGGCAATTGGGTTTGGCGACTGCTGGCGACTTGGGAGCAGGGGCAAGTGGCAACCTACCCTTGAGTGAGTTCTAGTTGGTGCAGATACAATGAGTTGGAAGATTGGGTATAAGGGGATTTTTTATTTGGCCATGTCTAGGCCCTCCTGCCCTAGTTATTTGAACGGATGTGTAATACACCTTAGTGCATTTAATTTTTTATGAAAATACAGATTAGTCACTTTTGTTTTTTCCTTTCTGAACAGAAGCTGCAGCGGGAGTCTAGACAGAAATTCTATGACACGCTGCACAGTGGGAAATCAGGTTTGTTACTACGGTAAGCTCTTCTGCATTTCATCCCCATAGCATACTCTAATAGTTGATAGTATGGCTAGGTATAGTATCTCTGGTATGGCCACACTACTAGTATTATTGGAACATCACCTATTCTATTGGAACATCACCTATTCTACTAGTGTAGTAATTGTATATAATCAAGTTCTCTATTATCCTCTCTTTGTGAGTCTTTAAAACACAATGTTTTTTGTTTGGCTACCAAGGCTTAGGAGGGGGCTGGAAAGGAGAGGGGAGGAATTTCTTTAGCTATATAGCTCTCTTTGAAAAAGTGTTGTCCATCTCATGGTTGTTCTCGGATAATAATAGATGTGCAAGCCAAAACTTGAAATACATGCTAATATTGTTATATGCTCTTTTTAGCATGTATTTCAAGTTTTGGCTTGCACATCTAAATCATAGATTAACCATGAGAGGACCATCTTTGTTCAAATTCAACAATTCTTTTTCCAAAGAGAGCTCATATCCTGTAAACATAAGTAATCTATCAAGTTTAAAGCAACCTTGGTAGCCAACAATGAACCTCAGGAAGAAAGACTCACAAAGAGAGTATAATAGAGAACTTGATTATATACAATTACTACACTAGTAGAATAGATGATGTTCCAATAATACTAGTAGTGTGGCCATACCAGAGATACTATACCTAGCCATACTATCAACTATTAGAGTATGCTATGGGGATGAAATGCAGAAGAGCTTACCGTAGTAACAAACCTGATTTACCACTGTGCAGCGTGTCATAGAATTTCTGTCTAGACTCCCGCTGCAGCTTCTGTTCAGAAAAGAAAAAACAAAAGTGACTAATCTGTATTTTCATAAAAAATTAAATGCACTAAGATGTATTACACATCCGTTCAAATAACTAGGGCAGGAGGGTCTAGACATGGCCAAATAAAAAATCCCCTTATACCCATAAATCTTCCAACCCATTGTATCTGCACCAACTAGAACTCCCTCAAGGGTAGGTTGCCGCTTGCCCCTGCTCCCAAGTCGCCAGCAGTCGCCAAACCCTAGTGCCTCTACAATGGCGCTAGTGTGACCAATGGGACCTCGCCAATCCCTCGACTGATTCCCGAACTCTAGGCTGCAGTTGCAGCTCGTCCTCCCCATTCCCAACTCTAGACGCATCCTCGCCAACTCCTACGTCTATTGCAGCCGGCGGAGGTACGTCCTCAGGGTGTTTGATGAAATGGCCGTTCGAAATGCCGTGAGTTCAAAATCCTTACATGCCTCCGTCTCCTCCTCCAATCGGTTGAATAGGTGGCCAACCAGCTAGCTATCGCGGCAGCGGTCAGTCTAACTGCGTTGTGTCATGGTGACACGAACCCACCTGCTCCTCCCTGGAGGGCAAGAGCCACCGGCGATGGCGTTGGCACCTGGCGTGGCAGACCACTTCCTCGTGTCCTTTCCTAATCTCCTTCCACGACCTCAATGCCAAGGAGGATGGCAGGAAGGTCTAGGCCTTACTCGCGGAGATGGAGAGCGCCATCAGGGACCATCTACTCTGGGCCAACGCCACCAACCAGGAGATCGACCACGCGCTCAAGGTGAAGCCCTGCCCCACTGATACTTGTTTTTCAGTAAAAATGAGTCGCTATTGTTTCAAGTGCATAATCAAATTTTTACCTGAAAATGCCCCTGTGCGAGTAGCTATCTGTGATTCTATTTTCTTTTACTCTTTTAATTTAATGGATGGCGATGGTCGCAGTCTACACTTCTTTTCTTTGTGCCTTTTGGATGATGTAGGTATTTAACTGCAGAAACATATTAGCTTATGTTTTTAGTGTACATTAATTCACTGTTTGACAATGTTTCTGGGGAAGTAGCATTCGGAAGTGTTCAAATAAAGATTCAATTTTTGTTCACTTTGGACTTCCACATTGTATTTGTGTGTGTAGAACTAGAGAAACGGTGTAGAGTCAATTCTCTGCTCAACAATGTTGCTCTGGTTGCAGCTGAATGCTGCTAAAGTGGAGGCTGTTGGCCCTGGTGAGCAAAGTCAAGCTTGCGGCTGATAAAGAGTAAGTGAACCATTCTTTTGTGCTTCAAAACGTTGTGCTATTCTACTGCTGCCTGATTAATCTCTCAATTAGGCACCATAATATCCAAACTATCGTAACATAAAAGAATTCTCTTACAGTTGTATTACTTGCTGTGCTATGAAATCATCCAAATATGCTGAATAAATGCAAACCCATGATATGATATGATATGATATGATATGATATGATATGGAATCATGGTAGTGAGTAGTGACTGTTTTAATCGTTTCAAATGTTGTATGGTTTACTGCTTGGTACTGCATTTCAACCATGCTTTTTGTGACTGGACTAAATAATAATAATAATAACTCTTTCTTAACCTTTCGTTGCTAACAGGCAACACAATCTGCTGTAGGTCGCAACAACCACATCAACTGCGCATTAGATCTGTCATATACTTGGTAAATTTATCTTTTTCCCTGAAATTGGGCATTCTAACTTGTGAATTTTTTCAAGATTCTGGCAAATTCAGCCAGCAGCAAGATCATTAAGGAGCTTGAGCATAAGGTGCAAGTGCTGCAGAGTGCAGACAGAGGCTACGACACTCTCAGCACAGTTGACAATGCTGCAGGTTTGTTCTGTACAGTTGCTGGGGATTTTGATTCGGGCTCTGATTGTGATGGTTTTAAGTTAACCTTGCTGTGCTTGTTTGCAGAGGGACTCAGCTGGACTAGCTACTCAGAACAACGACCAAAGGAGGAAAGTCTTCAGCGAGCTCAATGTTGGAGACGCCGCGGTTCCTCGACCTGAGCCTCCAACAATAAGAGCTGCGACTCCGGTGGAAGTCAAACCAAAGGGATCAAATTGAGTATGCCTGTGTTTGCGGATGGTGAGAACAGATGTAGCAGGGTGCCGGCAATGAAGTAACCGCAAGCGAGGTCGATGAATCTGCTGTTGCCCAGAAGAGAAGGGGAGGGAAGAGAAGGAATAGAAGTAGATCCAAGAAGACACTGAACAAGTAAACTCTGGTACGCTAAGTTATCAAAACCGCACTGATTACTGAATAATGATTATGAACTAAACTAGATGGCGTGTAGAGTGGTGTATTTTAAACTGTTGCTGCAACTTTCATTCAGCATTAGTAGTAGGCTATATTGTGTTATTCTTTGAGCTGATTAAGGTGTCAGAAACATTCCATTGAAATTCCGTACAAATTACATTGTATGATGAGCTAACGAGACTGCTTTGGCCTTTGGGAAATCTTGTGTGAAAAGTTCAGCGAATGAATATGGCCTAGGTGGCAATGTTGACCCCTGCTGTCTGTTGCATTGTAGTTTCAATTGCAAACATTTATGTAGGCTGATTTGCTGAGAACTTTGAAGTGAAATTGCATTGACCACAACAGTTTCAGATGTATTTTCTAATACATAAATGTTCATGTGTTGTCAATTAGAACCTGAAGAATACTGCAGTTCTCCATATTCCATAAATGATAATGGGTACTCCATCACAAGCATGTTCATTCTGAAAGATGGACAAAAGCATCCCGGTTCTAAATTATGTGTTAATTTCATTGTGTGAGATGAACTGACTAAACTGATTAGTGAAACATTTTAGAAGTATTTTCCACCACATATGTACCTATGTTCATCATGAATGGCGTTGTCAGTATATAACCTGAATGAACAAGCACCTAGGCAGTTTTAATGTCCAATGACCTCCGACGGGCTCTACACTGATCAAACGTCAGAAGCCCACAAAGACGTCAGTTGTTTTTCAATGTAGCAGCTTGGTTAGTGAATGATGTTAGCTGCTCCTCACCTTAGGGCACGTACAGCGGGCGTGCTGGCCGTCGTCTCCGAGCGGTAATTTTGCAAAATCCCCCCAGTTCGCTAGAGAGAGAGCGAAGCCGTCGCGTCGTGAGACGACAGCGAGGGCTTGTGCTCCCAGGCGGACTCGACGGCAGGATTCGCGTTGTACGGAGCTGTCGCCTTGAGTCGACGCCGTGCGGATCCAGCTGCAGGCGTGAGGTGAAAGAATCGTGCCAGGGCAGTCGCGGGGCGAGCAGGGCATCGGCACCGGGACGGGGCGGGCAGAGCAGAGCCGCACGGCGAGGACGAGGGCGTGGCGGACCACGGCCGCACCGGTGAGGAAGAGTTGGGCTACGCCGGCGAGGAAGAGCTAGGCCGCGCGGCAGGGCAGGGCGAGGAAGAGCTAGGCCGCGCGAGCAGGGCACATCCCGATGAGGCAAGCACGTCCAGCACGAGCAGGGTCATCATGGCAGAGGTGAGCTTGGCAGGCGGCAAGTCCATGGAAGCTGAATGTTTCTTTTCAGCTTCTGAAAACTGATAACTGAACGCACTTCTGTCAGTTACCTGCATGTGTTCAATTGATTTTGATTCTTACCTTTTGTGTGTGAACTAATTAAACATGCCAAGATGTGAAACTATCTACGCATTCTTGTCCACTATGTGCGCATGGCCGCATGTTTCCTATGTGAAACCGTCCCATAGATAGTGGCACCTGTCTGCATGTCTTCTTTGCATTCAGTCGTAGATTGCAGCTATAAAGAGTTGCTTGACTATATTCAGTCTGCATCTCTCCTGTAGTTATTTTTTTCTAGTCTCATGGAACCATCGCTTCCACCAGCCGATGAAGATGATCTACCAGAAGCCGATGACTTTGATCCTACAGAGGTGTTCACCATGGAAGATTTTCTAGAGGAGGATGAAATTGTAGAAGAATTTGTGAGGAAGATTGGAGATGGATTCAAGGCTGACATCCAAGGAGGAACATCGTCTGTGACTCGCCGCCGCCGACAGAGTGGACCAAGGAGGTACATACCAAGGAATCGAGAAGCAGGTCATGATGATCTTGTCGCTAATAACTTTTCTGCAAATCCTATCTACACCGATGAGATGTTCCGTAGAAGGTTTCGAATGAATAAACCGTTATTATTGCGCATTGTGCAAACTCTTAGCAATTGATATCCTTATTTTACTAGAAGAGTTGATGCAACTGGTATGGACGGTCATTCACCCCTTCAGAAGTATACTGCAGCTATCCAGATGTTAGCATGCGGCTCGCCGGCGGACCAACTTGATGAGGTACTAAAGATTGCTGCTAGCACTTTTTTGGAGATTCTGGGAAAATTTGCCGTAGGAGTGATTGAATGTTTTGGTGAAGAGTACCTGCGTGTAATTAGCTTTGAAGGATTTTTTTTTATCAATTAGCAACACAATGGTATATAGAATTGATATTCATGATTGATTGTGGCTACATGCAAGCATTAATGATTTATAGATAACAACTCTCTGTGGGTTGTACGAGCTGTCTGTTTAGCCATCTGTGTTGTAAATTCCAGGAACTTACAACAGCAGTTGTCTCTCTGTTCTACATGTCCTTAGGAGACCGAGTTTCCTCTGCATGCAGCAATGAAGGTTGCATATGCATGATGTCTACCACTTGCTCCTCACTTACTGGATCTCAAGCCAATCTTAAGGAAGCATTAGCACATAAGAAATACTATGCATACTGGTCATGGATGATTTCACTCGCAGACTATGTTACCAGATGAAACTATTTATTTGCAGCGGCTGCTAGTTTCTTGCTTCGATGAACACAAGAGCGCAGCAGAAACAAGAACTTCCGCACAGGCCATGGGTGATTTTATTCTGAAACTATGTCAATCCCAGCTAACAAATCTCACCTCTAAGGCCTTGGACGGCAGGCCTACGAAGCTCGCCTCCGCCATGTGCCTTGCCTCGTCGGGATGCGCCCTGCCCCGCCGGCGCGGCCGCACTCTTCCTCGCCGACGCGGCTGTGGTCCACCACGCTCTTGACCTCGCTGTGCGGCTCTGCTCCGCCCCGCCCCGCTCCACTCCGGTGCCGGCGCCGCCCCCCTGCTCGCCCTGCCCTGCCCCGGTGCCGGCACCGCCCGCGCGGCGCGCCGGTGAGGACAGAGGCACGGAGAAGATGACGTCGGTGGATTTTTGGCGCGATTTTTCCCCCTCGTGCGCGCGTGCGCATCCGGATCCGCGCGGCGTCAGCTCAAGACGACGGCTCGGTGCAACGCGAAGCCAGCCGTCGAGTTCGCCTGCGAGCACGAGCGCTCGCCGTCGTCTCACGACGCGACGGTGTTGCTCTCTCTCCTTATTTACTGTAGCGAAAGGAGGGATTTATGCATAATTGCCATCCGGAGACGACGGCTAGCACGTCCGTTGTAGGTGCCCTTAGTATCTAAAAAATTCTTCCTAAATCATTGACTTTTCCAAGTCCTAAAACAATATTAGAAGCACCCAAGATCGGTTTCTCCAACAGTTTTCTAAAAAAGCACTCATAAAAAATTAAAAAAACCCAGTGGCATTTTAGTAAATAGCGTCATCTTCTTCCTAAGAAGAAGGTACAGAAAAAGCATTGTGTGCGTCGCTGCGGTTCGACTGCTCCTCGGACTCGGCGAGGGGCGCGATGGCGGAGCCGATGGGCGCTGACTCGCCAGCCGGTACCAGGACCACGGCAAGGATGCTGTGCTGCTCAAGCAGTCGAGCTCATCACCGGCCGCCGCGCCATCAACATCGCCGGCCGTCTGGCGAACTTTAAAAGGCGCAGGGCCGGGCCATCCAGTTGCTGTGCACCGGCACGAGCACGATGGGGCGCGTGGCTGTGGGTGCTCGTGAACGCCGGATTGGTGGTGTCTGAGCTCCGGATGCTTCCGTAGTGGATGCGTCCATGTAGGCCGGGGAGCTCGCGCGGCTTTATGTCGGAGCATGCGTGGCGCGTAGCGGTGCGTCCGGAGGCCGGCGACAAGCCTCTGCGGCGAGGAGCGTGCAGTCGATACTGGAGCAGTTCCGCGTCTCGCCCGGACGCCCAGGATGCGGGGCGGATACGTGGACACGTGACCGCGTAGGATTGGGAGTTGCTAGGGATAGATTAGTGTTTTTGAGAACTCCAGGAGATGCTCTTAGATACTGTTGAAGATGCTCTTAGAACTCTATTTCTTCCTTGTCGTCCATTTACTCCTCCCCAATTCTGTTGAGATTCACAGCAGTTTCTCGACACTTCTACAAAACCAGGGCCCATCTCCATATCTAGTAAGGGCACGTTTGGATTGCTTCCAAACCGCGCTGCAGGTCACCGCGCCACAAGTTTGTCGCGCTGCGTGAACCAAACAATCACACCGCACGTTGTTAAAAAAAACAATCACACCGCACACCGCCGTAGGTTTGGCATGCGCCGCATACTGTAGTTCAAAACGCGCGCCCCAACTCTCCAATTGTTGGGCAGCCGTTTTGTCCACCAAATTCGAGGTGTGGCCACACGTTGCGGCAACGGCTATGGCACAAGCCAAACACGCCCTAGCGTAATATATAGTGCCATGATATATAAGAGTGAACACTACTGTCAATGTGCATAACCCAGTAGCCGAAAGATCTCTGAGGCATACAATAAGTATTAAATCAAACTACGACCTATAAGTGTTCCAGACAAAAGAAACCGATTCCTTGGGTCCAATCCTCGCTTAGTCACAATGGCCCCGTTCGCTTCGCTGAAAAAACAAGCCAAAACACTGTTCTGGCTGATTTGTCGTGAGAGAAAAACACTGTTCCAACTGAAAAAACAAGTTAAAAAGTACGGATTATAAGACAAGCGAACAGGACCATTACATCCCCACCTGTAGTGGAAAGAATAGAATTAATAAGACAAGTTTTCATGGGGCCGGGCGTACAAATAATACGAGGGTCAAGCCAATAATGATAAGATCGCAATTGCCAGGAACAATAGGAAAATGCATTCATAATGTAATTGTAACTTTACCGGTCATCTTTCTATATCGACATATCAGTTTGAAAAAATCATAGGTAAATTCCTACTGGCCACAATCTGGAGAAGACCAAAAACAGAATGGTTTGACTTACAACTCATAGGGGATGCCAACTACTACTAAAATCCGGGTTAGGAAACAAGACAGCGCCAAGTGGGAAAAAATAAAATAAAAAACATATGCTTCCATCCATATCTCGCCATTGCCCTGATTGTTCAAGTGAGGAGACAAGAAACTCAAATGTTTCTTGGTTCTTACATAGCAGACAACATAGTGTCAAGCATGACTAGTATGTGAACCTGTACAAATACATTAACAAATGTCCAGAAATAAAATGCTGAAAACAAAAACATCATGCACTAGTCACAGCTATGGTGAGTAATTCGCCGGACCAGAAAGACATACAATTATGTGCACCTATGGCATGAAAGAAATAGTATTTTCCACACCTTAGGAAGGAAAGAATCATGCAATATGCTGGTCATAACATCCAAGGCTTTTCCCCGGATCAAGCTGCCTCTCTTCAGCTCATGAGACTCAGACAAGGATATGGTAACAAGCTGGTTCTCTCTCTTCATCCAATCACACATCTTTTTGGCCTCACTTGCCATAGCCTTGAATTGAATACAACCATCAGTTTGCAACCAGTGCCAATATGAGCAGGTAATTTACAGAAAAGAAATGGATCGATACTAGTTAAAGTTCAGCACATATTGACAGGAGGCAGGTAGGCACTAACCATCATTGCAGCAGCAGAGACCATAGATTGATTTCCTGTGAGGTCCACAAGGCCCAAGGCGCACATGCGGATCACACTGCTCAGCTGGATGATGTCGTCATAATGCTCAGCACCTTGCTTCAATAGCTCACACATCAGGTCAGCCTCCATGGTAATACACTAGAAACCAATGCTAAGCATTAGTCAAAAAAACCATAGGAAGAATCAAAGAAAATACCCTATAATTCTACCCAAAGAACTACTGCTTTACTGAAGTACATGTGCTACTGGGTTGGATAGGACTAGTCCAAGCTAGGAGAGTAACATTTAAGACTAGGGTCCATAAGGCCATACTTGAATGTTGTGCAATAAATCCTACACACGAGTCAATATAATATATATCCTTGCCATAATTAAAAGTAGCAACAAATGCTCAAAGTTCAAGCCTTCTAGGGAAACACTCAACGTTGTTTGGACATACCATGAGTGAGATAGGCGAGGATTTCAACTATAATAGGCCAGTTTCAGTGGGAGTTTCATGAATTTTATTTGTATTTAATAATCTGCCACATATGTATTTTTGATGACATGGCAATGAGTGAAGAAATGAGTTTTATGGGGATGAAACTCTCTTGACACGATTACCAACTCTCTATGAGTCTTAGAATTAAATGTCTATGAAACCATGGAATGAAACTTTGCATTGAGAGTGGGTGTTGCATCAAGTTTTAGTTCATTCTATATGACATGACAATCTTGGAAACAACACAATGAAACTCTCCACTGAGATTGGTCTAAAGCAAGAGTGGAACCAAGACTGGAAACCTTGAAACACGCTATTAATTCTTACAGCTGGTTATCAAAATTTGCACCAGTTGTCCAAATTCAAACATCGTCCAGGTAGTATTTCAAGATCAAGATTACATGAATGAGAGAATGATTACCCTTAATTTGTGACAATGAGTAGCATATCACAATGATAACAGGACAGAGACAAAGGTTTTTCATTTTTCCTTGCCTCCAAGCAGAATTTCAATTCCCCATCCCCTCATTTTAGCTATTTTTTTCTTAACAGCAGCATAAATTCAGCCACTAGGATTCAGAAAGGAATAGTAAACATCCAGCACAAATTACAGTGGTGCAATACAGAAAAACATGTTTTGTTTGGTTTGTTCAGGCAAGGTAGGCACACATACCAGAAAAGCAATGGTAGAAGGAACAGACAACTCAACCCCTGTGCTGCCGATTGAAAGTGCACGCTCCTTGATCAGGGTACTCTCAATGACAGTGCTGACTGCATTGGCATCATCCAGGGTACACCACACTGGACTCGTCTTCCACATGGACAGGAGTTCCTCCTCGATCTTGAGACACTAATAATTGAAAACGTTGTAAGTTGAAATATGTTACGCAAACAGTTTCAATTAGATAATCGGTGGTTTAGTAAAGATGCAAGAGGGTTACTTACAGATTTGCAAATAGCAGAGCTGGCGATTTGTTGATTTTGGCAGGCAGGAGCAATGAAGTCATAAGCATTACGTTTGTAATACTCCTCCAGATGGCTGCTACAGTCGTCATACCACTTAATGTCACTGTGAAGTGGTACCAACCCTTCCCAACCCCATATTTTATCCAAAAGATCTTCTGAAAACACAAAAACAACATAACGTATGAAATGTATTGCAAAGGGAATATGAAAGCTCATAGCAACTATAACTTTAGTGATTATCTTCTTTATTACCTTCTTTACTCTTCCTCTTATTACTCTTCTCACCACCACTAATCGGTTTCTTATACTGAGAATTCAATACATCTGAAACGCTGCCCCTGGTGATAATACAATGAAATGGCATAATTTCACAGTGCTTCTCATCAAGAAGTAACAATCTAATTATCTTAGACCACATACAACTGCATCAAGAAGGAAGAAAAAACAAATGGACCATCCGTACCCTGTGGTGTTTGCTGCTCCATCAGCAGCAACGCCATCCCCATCACCACCAGGACCACTTCTACCAGCAGCTGAAGACTTCTCTAGTATGTCAACCACAAAATCCAAAGTTTTGTACCGGGCTAGGGGGCTGTCCCCAATCTGATCAGGTACAGGATCATCATAGAAATCAACAAGCTTGTTATTTTTACGCATCCACATACACAACATTTCGGCTTCCTTTGCCATACCCTTAAATTGAAGCCACCCGTCAGTATACAGTTTGTGCCGATAAGGTAGTAGTAAAGACAAAATTGTGCAAAGTACAATTCGAAAGGCGCAAGAATGGATGGAAGATATTATAAAGTTTGACAAATGGCCCATATAGTTCATGTGGGATCATCGGTTTGACAATTGGATGGATGATAATATTAAGTGGGTTTTTAAGGCAGGCACGTACCAACATAACAGCAGAGGCAGAAACAGAATTGCCCGAAGTGCAGTTCATATGTTAGGATTGATCTCCCACCAGTTAGGCCCAACGGCCTAACTGGGCCTTGTCCTCGCGCCCTGATCGGGGGCGCCCAACCCTACATGGTTGGTGGGCCCCCGTCGCACAGCGCTATAAAGGAAAGGTGGGGGCCGGGGCTCGCAGTACGAGGTTGACCGCGCCGTCAGTCACCCCACCGACATCCTAAACCCTAGACCCGATCGAAAGTAGGGGCGCTGCCAGCGACGGGAAGCACCACCGACGCCGGCAACGCCACCTCGACGCCTCGACGCACACGCCGCCGCCGAGGACGCCACAGCGCCGACTCCTCCCTCTCCACCGAACGTCGCTGCCGGCGCGCAGATGGCGTCCGTCAACGAGACCCCGGCCGGAGCTTCGACCACTACGGCTTTCGATGGTTTGCTACATCTCACTCCCCTTCTCTCTGCCTCTCATGTAAATCCCGAACACCTATTCTATTCCTATGCTAAGTATCCCGATCCGATGAACATACCTTAGAACACTTAACCTAACAATGGTACCGGAGCCACGGTTCGTCAAGAAATCAGATGCGGATCGGGAAAGAAAGTAGAAAACCGAACCCTAAGACCTAACCCTAATTTCCAAAATCAAAACTGAACAAGGGATTGAAGAAGGGGAAAAGGGAGGGTCGGATTCCGAGAACACTAGACGCAAATCCGAAAGAGAGAAAAGGGGAAGAAGAAAGAAGAAGGGTCGAACCCTAACCCTAATCCCATTTTTTTCCATTCGGATGAACGAAAAAAAGAGAAATAAAAGGCAAAGAAAACAAATCGGCAAGAACAAACCCTAACCCGAATCGGCAAGAACAAACCCTAAACCTAACCCTAGTTTTTTTCCCATTCGGACAAACCCGAAAAGAACAACTCAAAGAAAGAAAGGGGAAAGAAGGGGTAGGGTTAGGGTGCGCCGGATGAACTCTCACCGGTGCGGAAGAAGAAGAGCCGAACCGGTTTTTCGCCGGCGCCGGAGAAGAAGCCGAGCCGGGGCACGGGCTCGCCGGGCTCGGCCAAGGGAGCACCGCGGCCAGGCCGCTCGACGGCGGCGTGCTCACCCGTTGGGGAGCACGCGCGCCGGTGAGGGGGCCGGCGACGGCGCAAAGGACCGCCCGCTCTGTTTTCCTCGCTCGCGGCTGCTCGGTGGCTGCTGTCTTCGCTGCGGTTGAGAAGAGAGAAAGAGCGAAGAGAGAGAAAGGGCGAAGCCGAATGAGCTAGGGTTTTTCAGCCTCCCGCGCGGCGTCGGGTTTTATTCGAGCGAAGGAAACGGACGACCGTCCGATCAGATCCAGCGGCCACGGATGCTCGGGCCGTCGCCGGCCCAGGCGGGCGCGAGCGCGCGAGGCGCTTTGCCGGCCCAGGCCCAGGTTGCGGCCTGGGTGTGGCCCGTGCGTGCGAGGACGAGCTGGGCCGAGCCGTTTTCAGCGAGCTGGGCTACGCTGGGCTGAAATGAAAGAAGAAGAATTTTTCTTATTATTTTCCAGGAATCAATTCTAATGCATATTTTGATGAATTTGAATGATTTTGATACAATTTTCTGTGCAAATTTTATCCAATGATATTTTGCTCAGAAAACAGTGAATTTTTTAGTGCTTCTGGAAAATAATAATATGAAAAGATTATTAATGTTTCCGCTGTGCATGATAATTATTGTCCTCTTTGATTAAATTTGAACCAATGGGATAATTTAATTTTAAGAGAAATGAATTTCTGATAATTTTGATGCGATTATGATATTGTTATTTTCTGACCAACGTTGTTAATAACAATATTATAATTTTTGATCCATGAGAAATTATGCATTAATTTTACTTCTGCCCAACGGTGATGTAAAATGTTTGCATGGATGAATAATAAGTTTTAATTTGACCAACGTTGAGTTAAAGCATAGAATTTTATGTATAAATGTTTCTTACTTACTTTGGTGTGATTTCAGGAGGCAAATGCATTGTGAATATTGTCAACATCCCGACACTCAACGGAACCAATCACCGTGTGTGGCGGGAGAAATATAAATTGGAACTTGCGTTGGGAGAGGTCGATTTTGCCATCACCTCACCGTGTCCTACTGAGCCAGAGGACCCGATAAGAGGTGATAATGAAACTGACGCTGATTTCGCTGCTCGAAAGCGTGATCATGCTGAAATAAGAATGAAATATGACCTTGAACATAGGCAATGGACTCTCTCCAACCGCAAGTGCCTGTTGGTAGCCAAAGCCACCATAGAAGAACAGATAAGGGGCTCAATCACTGAATGTGCTACTGCCAAAGAATATCTTGAGAAAATCAAGAGTCAGTTTACTGGGTCTATCAAGGCCACAACAAGTTCACTGATTAAGAAGCTTGTGAATGAGAAATTCACTGGTGGTAGCATAAGAGAGCACATTTTGAAGATGAACACTATGGCATCCAAGCTAAAAGAAATGAATTTGAAGGAGGAGGATTTCCTGATTCATTTGATTTTTGCTTCTTTGCCAAAAGAATATGACACCTTCATTGTGAACTATAATATGCAGCCTGAAAGATGGGGCATAGAAAGACTCAACTCAATGTGTGCTCAAGAAGAGGAGAGGATAAAGTCCTCACAAGGTGAATCTGCTCATTTTGTGAAGGACAACAAAAGAAAGAACTTTAATGGCAAGAATTCTAAACCACAAGGGAAACCTAAGTGGGATAAGACCTCTTCCTCCATTTCACAGGGAAAGAAACCCCAGGATTCTGAGAATCAGCAGTATGGTGGAGCAAAAAAAGATCAGTGCAAGCACTGCTTCAAGAAGGGACACTACAAGAGGGATTGTCCAGACTTCCTGAAATCTCTGCTAAAGAAAGGTGATGAATTTATTACATTTGTAGATGAATCTCTGTATTTATGTTATGATAAATCCACTTGGTGGGTTGATTCAGGAGTAACTACTCATGTTGCAAATTCTTTACAGGGGTTAAGTGGGACGAGAACCTTGCAAAGAGGAGAAAGAACGATTAAAGTTGCAAATGGACTGCAAGCCAATGTTGAAGCCATCGGAGATTTTTCTTTAGAATTGAATAATGGTTTTGTACTTAGACTTAAAGAAGTACTTTATGTTCCCTCTTTGCATAGAAATTTGATAAGTGTTTCGAAACTTGATGATGATGGAATTGATTGCCATTTTGGTGATGGCAAGTGTAAGATACTGGTTAATAATAAATGTGTTGGTCTTGCCTTCCGACAAGACAAACTTTATTTATTATCTCTTGCTGAGAATGCGAACAATGTATGTGATGAGAATGTGAATGATTCCCCATCTGCGGATGTAACTAAGAAGCGAAAGAGAATTGATATTGTCTCTTCGAAATTATGGCATTGTCGCTTGGGCCATATTTCGAGGGGGAGAATGGAACGATTGGTTAAGGAATCAATTCTCCTGCACTTAGAATTTTCAGATTTAGAGCAATGTATTGATTGCATCAAAGGAAAGTATGTCAAGAAAATTAAGAAAGATGCCAAACGAAGCACAAGAATTTTAGAAATAATCCACACAGATATATGTGGTCCTTTTCCTGTAAAAAGTGTGGATGGTTATGACTCGTTTATAACATCCACAGACGACTACTCTCGTTATGGCAATATTTATCCAATTAAAGAAAGATCGGAAGCATTGAATAAATTCAAAATATTTAAAGCTGAAGTTGAAAATCAGCACAATAAGAAAATCAAGATAGTACGATCAGACCGAGGTGGAGAGTACTATGGGCGACATACCCCATATGGCCAAATTCCTGGACCATTCGCAAGGTTCCTACAGGAAAATGGCATAGTTGCTCAGTACTCCACACCGGGGGAGCCTCAGCAGAATGGAGTGGCTGAAAGACGTAACCGTACCTTAATGGATATGGTAAGAAGCATGATGAGTTACTCCACATTACCGATTAGTTTATGGATGGAGGCACTGAAAACCGCCATTCACATACTTAATCGAGTACCAAGTAAATCGGTGCCTAAAACACCGTAAGAATTATGGATAGGAAGGGAACCCTCACTTAACCATTTGCGTGTGTGGGGCTGTCCAGCTGAGGCAAAGGTGTTTAACCCAAACATAGAAAAGTTAGACTCCAAGACAGTCAGCTGCCATTTTATTGGCTATCCAGAAAGATCGAAGGGATATCGCTTCTATTGTCCTGACAGACATACGAAGATTGTAGAAACAACACATGCTGTGTTCTTGGAGGATAACATGATCAGGGGAAGCATGGTAGCATGAGAAATCAGCCTACAGGAGAAGCGGGTACATGTACCCACTCCGATGGTTGAAGAACCATTCTTCACGCTACCTGCTGCTGTTGCACCGACAGTGTAGGACACTGTAGTGCCAACACCTGTTGTAAGTTCTCCCGTGGCGACAATGAATGAACATGAGGAACCTGTCCTTGAGGAACCTATCCTTGAGGAACCTATAGAACCAAATGTTGCACATGAGGAAGAACAACAACAGCCAAATGTGGAACAAGTGCCGGAGGCACCTAGAAGGTCTCAAAGAATAAGAAGATCAGCTATTACTGATGACTATGAAGTTTATGAAACAGAAGAATGTCAGATGGGGGATGATCCCACCTCATTTGAAGAAGCCATGAGAAGCGACCACTCATCAAAGTGGCTTAAGGCCATGGAAGATGAATTGAAATCAATGAGTACCAATAAAGTTTGGGACTTAGAAAATATTCCTAAAGGAGCCAAAACAGTAGGCTGTAAATGGGTCTACAAAACGAAATATGACTCCCAAGGGAATATAGAAAGATTTAAAGCGCGACTTGTGGCGAAAGGCTTCACGCAAAGAGAAGGGATTGATTACAATAAGACGTTTTCTCCAGTCTCATGTAAAGATTCCTTCAGAATTATAATGGCACTTGTAGCCCACTATGATTTGGAGTTGCATCAAATGGATGTAAAGACGGCTTTCCTAAACGGGGATTTGGAAGAAAATGTTTATATGGCACAACCGAAAGGTTTTGTCATAAAAGGAAAGGAAAATATGGGATGCCGCCTGAAGAAATCAATCTACGGATTGAAGCAAGCTTCAAGACAGTGGTATTTGAAGTTTGATAGAACGATAAAAGGTTTTGGGTTTGAAGAAAATGTTGAGGACAATTGCGTTTACGCAAAGTTCAAGAATGGAAAGTACATATTCCTAATTTTGTATGTGGATGATATCTTGCTTGCTAGTAGTGATATCAATCTGCTAATGGAAACAAAGAAATTTTTGTCCTCGAACTTTGATATGAAAGATCTCAGTGAGGCCTCGTTCGTTTTGGGAATAGAGATTCACCGAGACAGGAGAAAAGGGGTTCTAGGATTATCGCAAAAGGCATACATAGAAAAGGTCCTGAAGAAATTTAGTATGCATGCGTGCAGTCCTTCACCTGCTCCTATAGTCAAGGGCGATAGATTTGGGGAACATCAGTGTCCCAAGAACCAATATGAAATTGACCGAATGAAAGCGGTACCGTATGCTTCAGCTGTTGGAAGTTTACAATATGCTCAAGTGTGTACACGCCCTGACTTAGCTTTTGTTACCGGGTTACTTGGCAGATATCAAAAGAATCCAGAAATTGAACATTGGAAATTAGTGAAGAAAGTCCTGCGTTATTTGCAAGGTACGAAAGGCCTCATGCTTACGTATAGAAGATCTGATACCCTGCAGATAGAGGGGTATTCAGATTCTGATTATGCGGGAGATGAAAGAAAATCCACGTTAGGATATGTATTTACTCTCGCAGGAGGGGCTATATCGTGGAAAAGCTCCAAACAAACCATAACTGCATCCTCGACAATGTATGCCGAGTTTGTAGCATGCTATGAGGCAACGGGGCAGGTGAATTGGCTGAAGAAATTCATACCCGGATTGAAAGTGATTGATAATATAAAAGAACCACTGAGGTTGTATTGTGATAACAACCCAGCGGTACAATATGCTCACAACAATAGGTCAAGTGGTGCTGCCAAACACATTGACATAAAGTACTATGTTGTGAAAGATAAAGTTCGGGATCATATAATAAATCTTGAGCATATAAGTACAGAGAAAATGCTCGCGGATCCGCTCACAAAGGGCTTACCACCCAACGTGTTCAGAGAACACGTAGCCGGCATGGGTTTAAGGGAAAGCCTATGATTCCCGAACATACGAAGGGCCCAAAGAAAGTTTACATTTCAAAACGGAGAAGTGTATTGTGGCTGTTAGTCTAACGGCACTAATTGCTGTGACGATGGGACAGTTCTATGCACTAATCTGTGATGAAATAGGATGGAAGCAAGAAAAATATGAATTGAAAGTTTTGAATATAAAATTAAAGAACGAAGAATAGATGAGAGATCAAGGGGAGAATGTTAGAATTGATCTCCCACCGTTAGGCCCAATGGCCTAATCGGGCCTTATCTCAGCATACGATCGGGGCGCCCAACCCTACATGGTTGGTGGGCCCCGTCGCCAAATACTATAAAGGAAAGGTGGGGGCTGGGGCTCATGATGACGAGGTTGACCGCGCCGCCTTGATCACCCCCACCGACATCCTAAACCCTAGACCCAATCGAAAGTAGGCGCTGCCACGACGGAAGTACCACCGACGCCGGCAATGCCACCTCGACGCACTGCCGCCGCCGAGGACGCCCACACAGCGCCGACTCCTCCCTCTCCACCGAACGTCGCTGCCGGCGCGAGATGGCGTCCGTCAACGAGACCCCGGCCGGAGCTTCGACCACTACGGCTTTCGATGGTTTGTTACATCTCACTCCCCTTCTCTCTGCCTCTCATGTAAATCCCGAACACCTATTCTATTCCTATGCTAAGTATCCCGATCCGATGAACATACCTTAGAACACTTAACCTAACACATAAGGCTCAAGGCACACATGCGCATCGTTCTGCTCTGCTCGATTAAGTAATCATGAACGGGATGAGCACCACGGCTCATCAACTCACACATCAGGTCAGCCTCCTTGGCAATACACTTGAAACCATAGTTTTGCATAAGTACAATGATCATAAAAAAGACAAGCAAAATAATCCATATACCATCCACTCTTCAAGGCGAATTTGGGTGCTAAATTATCCTTTACAAAAAGGAAGCCACCGATTTCCTCCTAGGTTGGTCTACATTTCTATAATGTAACCAGATATTTCAGCTATTTTACTAAGGTGTAAGCACCAAGTAGGATAGTGTTCGATTGCCAGTCCAAGATACCCCCATAGATAAAGAATGAAACAATAAAAATTGAATAACCGGGACAGATTGACCACCTTGCAGCTACTCCCTACTCCCACAGGGTACACACGGTAAACAAATGCTTTAGCAATGTTTGACTACACACACACACACACACACACACACACACACACACACACAAGAAAAATGTTTGGTGTGTTACAGGGGTGAGGAACATACCAACAAAGCGGCACCACAAACATCAGAACCTGCTGTGTGGATCACTGAACATGCACGCTTGTGGATCAGGCAACTCAGAATTCTTGATTTCCTCATCTGCAAGAGCCTCTCCTCTTCAGGTTTCACCTGGATCTTCAACTCAGATACAAGTTGCTCCTCATTGTTGAGACACTGCTTGATTGAAACCATGAGACAGTCAGTCAATCGCTCGATCCTAAAAAATAATCAATGGTTCCTAAAAAAATTAAGTTACCAAAAACAACGGTTTACTTACAGTCTCAGCAAGAGCAGCTACGCTGCTATCCTTAGTAACTGCATGCACATTGTGATGGTGATACTCTTTAAGGTATGTGCTATAGTCAGACCACGACACGGAAATTCCCTTTGGTAGCAGTTTGTCCCATCCCCATATTTTCTCCAACATATCTTTGGAAACAAGTAAATAAAAAACACACAGTTAAAGAAGAGTCGATAAGAAATCATCATCCGCAAGGATATGGTGGTGGCATGCTCTTATTCATGTTTGTATATATTAAGTAGATATAAGGAAAAACTAACGAGGAAGGAAGTACAATAGCGACAGGGCAAAAAGGCAAGGCAACGTATATATAACAGAAAATGCGGGGAGCATGAAGAAATCTACACACCAGCACGCAGAGCGCAAGTAGGTTCCCTTCAGTAATAAGGGGGAAAAAGGAATGATAACAAGCTATGGATGCTAAGGCCCGTTCGCGTGTCTTTAAACCCGGCTAAATCCGCTTCTTTTTTCATCTGGAACAGTGTTTTTCTCTCACAAATTCCTCCAGCATTCCTCCAAACCATCCAAATTCCTCCAAGCGAACAGGCCCTAAACTTTACCATGGTACTTGACAATTGTTGGCCTAGGCATCTCTTTTGTGATTATACCGTACTCCCACTCCTCCTCCATCTCTTCGATGAGACGGGCAAAATACTCTCTTTCTAACTGCTCTTCGCTGAACCCTGCCTCGGCCAGCTTCTTCGTGAGTTCTGCCTCAGCTAGCTTCTTCGCGAGGTCGTCGGAACGCCCCGCTGAAGGGAAGCCGTGGAGCTCCATGATTGCGCCCCGCGAAAACTTGCGGCGCCTCCCGCAAAGAAGAGGCCGATCTGATCTACGGTTTCCTAACCGTGTGGAGGAACGAAAGGACGGAGTGGTAGGGATTTGAATTTGAGTTCGGCCGGAGGCAGGTTTGGTTTTCATCGAGGGGGGAGCGACATCGGCCGTCGGATGCGTGAACGGACGAGATCACTTCGCTGCTAGTTGGGCCTACGGGTTCACGCAGCCTGGCGAAGAAAGGCAGGCCCAACAACCTCTCTATGTCCTTCCTAATAAATGCTAAAAATAGATATTTTGGTAAAAAAAACTACCCTCCGAGTGATCATCCAAATATAGCCATCTTTTATTTTAGATTTCTCATTAGCCAAAAATTAAATATGGGAATGACTCTCTAGAGTGCGCACAAGAAATAGAAAAGTTGTTGGAGAATGAAAAAATATAGAAAGCGATTTTTATGCATGACTCTCCAAATCACGATTTAGAGAGAGAGATTTAGAAAGTGTCGATGCGGGACCCACAGGATACCCCGCAAGAGAGATAAAAGATCTAGTTCAACTAGGATTCTTCCCATGTAATCTTAATAGTAGAACTATTAAGTAATCCTACTAAGAAATCTCATTGTAAACCGACTAGGACTCTGGCCTCCTGACAATATAAAGGAGGGCAGGGCTCCTGAAAGGGAGGACAATGGTACAACATAACACTTCATAATCAATCCAACGCAAAGGCAAACGCTGACTGGACGTAGGGTTGTTACTCGATCTACGATCGAGGGCCTGAACTAGGATAAATCGACTGTCTCTTGCGTTTACCATCGAGTTTAGCATACGCCGAAGCCCGAACGATACTGCCACGGTACCCCCGTGGCAGGCTATCGGTGGTAAAACATCGACAGCTGGCGCGCTAGGTAGGGGCTTTCGGCGACTTTGCATCCGAGAGCTCGATGGACCTCAATAACATGATCTTCCCGACGGGATCGATTTTCATCTTCGGCTCATGGATCTGCGAGGCGAACAACTACGGCAAGCTTCAAAGGCATCTCCTCAAAGATCCGGATCATCATGAAGAATTTCCTATTTCGACAACTACGACGGATCAGCTCACCAGAAGATTCGCGCAGCCCATAATACCCGATTCGAATAAGATTCCACGGCTACACGCATCCGACTCGAATTCAAGCTCCGTATCCGAGATGAAGTCTTATTCGAGTGCTTTCAAGAAACCGAGTTCTTTTTTGGCAAGATTCCAGAGCACAACCCAAAACAACTCGGATTATCCTCAGAGTTCTTTCAAAAGGCCGAGTTCTTTTCCATTTGGGCTCGACAACACGACAAAATCCTATCAGGGACAGTTTGAAAGGTCTTTCAAACCAGCGCTTGGGATACCACTGACAGGGGCTCAGGAGGGTCTCGTACTAACGATAACATCGCGAGATTGTATCATCCACTGGCCAGGTTCTGCTCCTAAGGATAGCGGAACCCAACTAGTTGGCACAACAACAACAGCTATTCTACCTTACCAAGAAGGAGACTCGATCTGCGACGTCGAGGCGCCTACTGAAGTCATCAGGAACTCCGACAGTATGAAAAATAACACCAATAACGGAACGGCTCACGCACGGGAAGTGCTCATGGTTCGACGTCCTCGGTCACCATTAAACCCCTAGAAGCACCCGATGTCAGGTCATCAGATGAATCAGAGTCCAACATATCACCCTTTTCCCAGGGCTATGATGGAGAAACCGAGAGTCAGAGACAGGCTAGAGAAAGGAAAAACAAGTTGAAGCAAGGGCACCAACACCGCGCTCGACAGCGTAGAGAAGCCTGGACCAGATACGAGTCAGAATTGGCTGAATACGATAAAAGAAAATCACAACAAGAAGCCGAAGAGAGACGCACAGTGAGTACGCCTTACGATAAGATTCGAGAAGCATTAGAAGAACTCAGGGCAACTTCACATCACGGAGAGAAGTACGAACAGCTCCAGGACTTGCTCCGGTCAACGATCCCAAGAACGCATGAAGAGAGAGCCCGATCAAGACTACCCGCCAGATCAACAACCCGCAGGCAAGAAGATCAAAATCAAAGGAAGTCCGCTTTTGAAAGACTTGGGCCAGGCGGAAGCCATAACGGAGAAAGTAGGAGGGAACATAGTCGGGGCCACCAATTTGAACAACCGAAGAAGACCAGGAGTAGAGTGCCTACCCAGACAGCCTCGCAGACTTATTCCCATCAAAACAACACTTGACCAGAAGAAGGAGCCGAATCCGAATTCAAGGAAGCCGGAACACATGACAGATTCCCCTGTTTTGCAAACAGGTTGGCATCAGTACGACTACCTCATAAATTCAAACCGTCTAACCACTCCAAGTATGATGGCAAAACCAAACCAAGACAATGGCTCAGAATATATTCACAATCAATTGAACTAGCCGGAGGAGACGATGATATCAAAACCTTGTTCTTTCCCATGGCACTGGAAGCAATGCCCCTCCAATGGTTTGATAAATTGAACCCAGGATCGATCAGAACTTGGGAAGACTTGCAAAGAGCTTTCTGTGAAAATTTCGCAGGTATCATCACACACCCGATCACTCATGCAGAACTGAAAGGACTCAAGCAAAAGGGGGGGCGAAAGTCTCAGAAATTACTATCGGCGATTCGGTGAACTGCGGGCTCAAGTGCATGACATCACCGAACGAGAAGTAATTGAAGCTTTCTCTCACTGAATCATGGCTAGGTGGCAATTTCAAGACTTCGCAAAGAAAATCGAGAAACAATGAAGAGTTCGTATTTAACAAGAGAGAAAAAAATAATTACTGCAGAAGAAAAAACACGAAAAGGTTCCTGGATAGAAGCAACCAAGACAACCCTTGATAGGCAAAATCATCGAAATAGCGGACATCAAGAAAGAAAGCGTGGACCGTAGACAATACCGTGGCAATGGCCAACAAATCAAAGAAGTTTTCCAAACCCGTAAGATATGATGACATTGAAAACATACGTTGCCCATTACACCCTAACGGAGACACACCATCGAAAACTGCTACACTTTCAATGATCGATCTGAGAAGAAAAGATAGTAAGGAGAACACCAAAGAGGACAATCACAAGAAAGATGAAGACAACCACGAGGACAAAGGATTTCAAAACCCAGGGGAACGGTAGCGAAGATCTTCTCGGGGCTCCAGATTGCACAAGCAAACGTCAAGAAAAACTAGCACTACGGACTATCATGACGGCGGAAACGGCTACACCAAGATATCTCAATTGGTCACAATATCCAATCCAATTTTCAAGAGAAGACCAATGGACTAGCGTGAGGGAGCAGCCATTACCCACTAGTCTTAGACCCAACTATTGCCGGTATGATCGTCACCAAAGTACTAATTGACGGGGAGCCGGACTCAACATCATCTTTTCGTAAACACTAAGGAAGATGGGACTACAACTCACGGGATGATTACACCAACAAGCACTCCTTTTTACGGAATAGTACCCGCAAAAAGCAGCCATGCTGCTCGGATAAGTTACTTTACCCGTCACTTTTGGAACTCCTTCAACTATCGAACATAGTTTATCAAATTTGAGGTCGCAGACTTGATTCATCATATCATGCGATCCTCGGACGCCCAAAGACTGCAAAATTCATGGCAATACCACATTATCCATACTTATTGCTTAAGATGCCAGACCCAACGGTATCCTTTCTCTTGAAGCGATTTGAAGCGTGCTTTTTGATCATGACGTTCAGTAATCCAAATTATGCCAAAGCACAAGCCGACAATGGAAGAAAAGAAATAGCCACAATCGCTGCGGAGATGAGCCAAGAAGGATTAGAAATACCGGCTAAAAAGCCCAAATCATCACACCACCAAAAGAAGCCGACATCAAGCAAATCGATTTGGCACCGGCGATACCTCCAAGACAAAGAACCATCGCTGCTCACCTCTCGGCAAAATAGAACTCGCGCTCACCAACTTTCTTCGGACAACAAAGATATCTTCGCTTGGAAGCCGGCCGACATGCCGTGTGTCCCAAGAGAGTTAGGTGAGCACACAATTGATGTTAATGAAAACTCCAAGCCTATAAAGCAACGCAGCTACGACGATTCTCACCCGACAAAAAAGCAAAATGATTAAAAAAGAAATCACAAAACCGATGGCGGCCGAATTCATCGAGAAAATCCTTCATCCGGACCGCTAGCAAACCCGGTCCTTGTGCGTAAGAACACGAGACGAGTGGCGATAAAGCGCCGACTACACGGATCTCAACAAACATTGCCCAAAAGATCCATTTGGGCTACCACGCATTGACCAGATAGTCGACTCAACAGCGGGGTCTGCGCTATTATCCTTTCTCGATTGCTATTCAGGGTATCACCAGATCGCATTAAAAGAACAAGACCAGAGGAAGACATCTTTTATTACTCCGTTCGGTGCTTACTGTTACAAGACCATGTCATTTGGACTACAGAACGCTGGTGCCACATACCAAAGAGCTATCCAAACTTGCCTTGGAGATCAAATCGGTGAAAATGTAGAGGCATACGTGGATGATGTAGTGGTGAAAACAAAGAACCCAGACACTATGATTGAAGATTTAAAGCAAATATTCGAAAATTTGAAGAGATGGAGATGGAAATTGAACCCAAATAAATGTGTATTCGGAGTTCCTTCAGGGCAACTACTCGGATTTTTGGTCAGTCAGCGCGGGATTGAAGCCAGCACCAAGCAAATTCGAGCTATAACAGAAATGGGGCAACCTAGAAGTATCAAAGATGTACAGAAACTAACAGGATGCATGGTGGCCCTCAACCGTTTCATATCAAGACTCGGCGAAAAGGGGTTACCCTTCTTTAAACTACTAAAGAAGATAGACAAGTTTGAATGGACAAAGGAGGCCGACGAAGCTTTTAAGAAACTTAAGGCATATCTCACATCCTCACCAATTCTCACACCCCCAAGGAAAGACGAAGACATGATGCTATACATTGCGGCG